ATTGACATGAGAAATCGGACGCCCTGTAAAGAAATATAAAATTTTAATAACTGTTTTGAAACAATAACGATATTCTTAAGTTTAAGTGAAAATTTCAGAAAAAAAAAACGTTTTGCGTTAATGACTTTCTTATTTTTCACAATCGATGCATTTGTCATAATTTTCGGAAAAAGTTAAATGTCTCAAATTAATAATAGAAAGTAGGCCTATCACCATACCACTGAAAAGGATATTTTATGAAGGATCTAAATTTATAATAATAAATATATCATTTATCAATGTAAAATAAGAAAGTTGAGGTATTACTGTAAAAATGGAGCACCCTGTATAGTTGAAAATATTTTTAATTAATTATTACGTATTATGTAATTAGCATGTTTTAATTAATTATTACACAGGAGCGAGATATGAACTTACGTTGTTAGCATTGGTCAGATTCCTAGTTAGATGATGCAATTTTTTTCAAATGACTTTGGCAACTATTCAAGAACTATAGCAAGTTAGACAGCTAACTGATGTTTATAAAGTTTATAAAAATCTTTGTTCTCTATCTAGAGATGTAAGTATCTAAATTTGTGAGGATAAGAAGGTAGCGATTTATAGCTATATTGGAATTGGAGGATGTTTTAATGAAAAATTGTTACTGTGAGATATGAACTCATGATGCTGGCCATAATTAGTTTAGTTAATTAATACATTTTTTTCAAATGACCGACATCTATTCAAGAACATCGGAATTTTAGACAGATGAATGAAGTTCAAAAAGTTAACAAAAACTGTTATCCATCTAGGAATCTAGAACATTCAAATTGGCAAGTATAAATGGGAAAATGATCTACAACTTACTTAGGAGCAAGCTATGAATTCATGTTAATCATGAGCACTTTAGTAGTTATGATGAAATTTTTTAAAACTATTTTAACATCTACTCAAACATTACAAATTTAGACTGTGAAAGTACAATAGACACGAAGAATCGAAAAAATGTGAACTCACTTCGAATCAAATAATTAGATAGATAGATAGATAGATAGATAAGTCTTTATTTGTTCTTCAGATATATCCAAATGGATGTGGAACGTGTCACAAAATTAAAACTAAGTAAAATTATAACAAGTAAAAAAAGGTAAAACTTAAAACTAAATAATACAAATACACATATTAAAATACATATTAAAATTTAAAAAAAGAAGGAAAAAAAAGAAAATCCTAAAAATCATCATTGAAAAACTCGTCCGGCTGAAAGTTATTTTTTAGGCAACTTGCGAAACATTTTTTTTTCAGAATCAGGTGGAAAATATGTCGACACATTTCAAATTTCATAAAAAAAATATTGCTTTTTTTATAGTTGCACAGTTGTAAAATTTTATTAGATTAATTTTTCACTGCAAATTTATAATAATAATAATAATAATAATGCGCCGGCGCGACTCCCGTGAGGCGTCGGAGGCCACGGGAGGACTGACCGGCATCGGGAAACCGAAAAAAAAAATAAATAAATAAATAAAAAAATAAATAAGTGCTGTACCCAGGCTACTCGGTCAAAATGGTCGTCCTTATTATCGGTGTACTCGGAGGGATAAAGCCTACGCTGCTCTCAGAACTGAAGATCATACCGGCCTGCCAAAAACCAGCCGAGTGGCTGGCAGGTCAAATGCAGAAGGCGGTCATTCTGGGTTCTCTCCGTCTGCTTAGGGCACACGATTCTGGTATCTACAGTCACTAACCCTGCGGGATGTGGGGAGTGGCTGTAGTTGATGCGCCGGCGCGACTCCCGTGAGGCGTCGGAGGCCACGGGAGGACTGACCGGCATCGGGAAACCGGGAAAAAAAAAATAAGGCTACTCGGTAAAAATGGTCGTTCTTATAATCGGTGTACTCGGAGGGATAAAGCCTACGCTGCTCTCGGAACTGAAGATCATACCGGCCTGCCAAAAATCAACCGAGTGACTGGCAGGCCAAATGCAGAAGGCGGTCATTCTGGATTCTCTCCGTCTGCTTAGGGCACATGATTCTGGTATCTACAGTCACTAACCCTGCGGGATGTGGGGGGTGGCTGTAGTTGATGCGCCGGCGCGACTCCCGTGAGGCGTCGGAGGCCACGGGAGGACTGACCGGCATCGGATATTCCGAAAAAAAAAAAAAAACTTTCTTTTCATAGACTTTATAAAAAAGTATAGAAATATAGTCAACACGGGATTTTAAAAGCTAAGGCTTAATATCGATAAGTTAAAAGTGACTGAGAACATTACATATAAATACAAAGACAATTTAAAAATACAAATGCAATATAAAAAATAAAAAATATGTATATAATTAAAAACCAACATATCAAATGAAATGATTGTAGCCCCTATACTCATTGACCGAATAAAAACTTTTTGAGTTAGAATGGATGGATCATGGATCATGCATTTAAAAGATTTAATATTGTTTATCTTTTTAATTTCAATTGGAAGTTTATTATGTAACTTAATAGACATAATATTAGATCCCTTCGCTGTAGTAGTTAATCTATGTTATGGAACAGTGATGTTAAAAGTTTCCCTTAAGTAATGCGTTGAATTTCCATTTCTTGGTATATATTTGTCAATATGAGATTTTGTATAAATTACACATCTAATGAACTGTTAATATATCTAATTTTTGAAACGAAGTTTTACAAGCATCATGTGAAGATTTAAATGTCATAGTATGAATTATTTTTTTCTGCATTACAAGAAGCTCTTCTATTCTAGAACAGTTTCCACAGCAAATTATACAGTAGTCGAGATAGGATTGTACAGGGTGGGCAAATTTTGATGTTTGTATAGGGTAACTTCGATAACTATAAGAGATACAAAAAATTCTCAATCTCTTTTTTTGAGACAAATCCACTGGCAAAAACAAAAATTTGCTATCGTCTTTTGTTTTAGAGTTATAAACAAAAGTTCGATTTCTCGACTATTAGACACATGTCAGAATCTTGGTTGTTTGTAAAGTTATAAAAAAACAACTTTTACATTCTTGAGGCACTTTTTTCTATATAATACAGTGCCGTCGAGAAAATTTAAAATAAAATGTGCAATTTCGAGTTATGGCATAAAGTTGTATTTTTTTAAATAGGAATAATAGTGCTATGGTTTAGTTAAAAAGTAAATTTTTTCTCTTTCAAACTATATATCATATGTGGGGTCGCTTTTGATGTGTAAGAATTTAATAGCAAAAATAATCTTTCAGTAGATTGCTGTTTGCGTTTTTTTTTTTATATTATTCTACATAGGCGTGTGTCATCTATGACAGCGTTTATCCGTTTGTCAGTAAATTGCATATTAATAATTTTGTTTCCATTATAATTACACCCCATTCACATTCACATTCACAAAAGTGAAGATGTCTTATGAAAATTATAAGAAATATGATATGCTAGAATGCTTTAATCAAAGTAATAACAATTGTGAAATTGCATCCGAAATATATTTCAATCGCTATCCAGAAAGAAGACAACCTAAGAAAGCTATTTTTAAGAGGTTAAAAGAAAATCTCATTAATTTTGGGTCCTTCAACAAGCCAAGTTGGCAGTAACTCTGTCATCAGCAAAGATAGATATAACAGTTTCATTCATATAAGAATGATGTCGTTAATAAAAAGAATAAACAATTGTGTTCCCAACACACTCCCCTGGGGAACCCCAATGGGAACGTGATTAAGATCAGAACTGTAAATCCTATTATTAGCGGTTAGAGATATTTTTTGAATCCTATTTAGTAAATATGTTTATTTCAAAAACTTTATAAAATATCTGATGTGGCCAGCACATAACTTTCTTATACCAGTGTATATCATACTGATATAAAAAAATTATTCTAATTTAATTCTTGACACCTCAATTAAATTTTTAAAGCGTACCTTGAAAAATTCATGTCATGTTTTTAATAATTTCTTATTGACATATTGACATCTTTGAAACTAAAATAGACATTTAAAATGTCAAAGTACCAAATTTATATATATATTGATATAATAGACCTGATTTATAATCTTTCATCAAGAATTTTTTTTTGTGTCAAATACAAAAAAAGTTTGGATCCCGTGAATCTCCTTTCAGCAAGCCAATTTTGCTCATTACCGAATTTATCATTGTCTTTGGCCTTTAGAATATGTGTACCAAATTTGAAAGCTTTATCTCAAAAACTGTGGCTGCTATCGCGATATTGCAGACATGCAGACAGATTTTTTCCTAAAGTTATGTTTTTTCATCATAATTCGTCAAGAATCGTCCAGAAATGCAACAAAAATTTTTTTCCCCGAAATTGCACCTTTTTTCTTCTTTCATTCATTATATCTCTTTGTTGGTATCACATTCACCCAATTTAGTGTCACCTAATTGTCAAATTTTGGAATTCTCCCATTAGCGATGTTTCTAACTTTTTCGCAAATTTCAATCGCAATTTTTTTTCTGCAAAGCTTCTTCATTTAGTTTTGATAGTTATGCCTTAAGGTATCGCTTGGGTCCCATGCTCCAATACCAAGATATGACAACCTAAATTTCACCACCCGCCACTGTAATTAATTGAACTGAGTTTTATTAAAATTTGATGTGAAAAAGTAAATTTAGTTAGATGGTGTCAATGAACACTTAATATAATACCATATCATTTTGAGCTAAAATATACCAAGGGTTTATTTTTTAAAGTCCGTTCTTTTTTTATTCAACTGTTTGTCTGCTAGATTTAAATTTCTTGAAAAAATTCCATAGTTTTTAATTTTTAATATATCTCAAATAACTATGCTATAAAATCAGTTTACCCTCACAAATGGTCCACCTTGCAAATGATCCTCATAAAAATAATAATTAATGTTAATCCACTGCTGCAGTTATATATCAAAATTCTCTGAAACAAGAATACAAATTATAAATTGTCTTAATTTCCCTCGTTATGTATTTATTGCACTAGTATGCATATTTTCTTTAAATACGGCATAATAGAAATATTTCATCAACAACTGTGTAATTACATTGGCATGGCAGCTGAGTGGGTAAAGCACTTATATCTTACTCGGTACCGAAGGTCAATGGTTCGATTCCATTCTGCGGCAAATTAGAAATTTTATTAGTAATTTGTTTCAGATTAAGAAGGGAGAGGGAATTATCGATACCCTAAATGTGGTTAAGAAAACATTAAAAAACAAAACATAAATCTAGTAATGTACTCAGTGTATCACACTTTTAACTAAATTCACTGATAATTCTTTTGTCCCAAATTTAAATAAATTAATATAAATTAAATATTTTCTGAACTAAAATACTCGTATGATCAAAATAAAATGAAAAACATCAGATTATATGATAATCTTGTTCCTGATAATTTTTTTTTTAGCACAAATAAATATTTTTTTATGAAATATGGGATGTAGGGAATTTATGGAATACCGAACAATATTCTGTAAAGAAGTATACCAAATACCGTTTTTTGGTAATTTTATTTTGTACATATTACATGGTACTACTACATTTTTCATTTCAAATACCAAAAATTTTAAGATATTAGTATCTGTTAATTGGGAGAAAATGTACATGAAAAAGGAAAAATATATCTTGCAGAATATTGCTGTAAAGGAAAATTTTCCAAAATGCAATATATAAAAAATTTCCCGACTAATATCACATCAATCAATATTATTTCTTTCAAGAATTTTTGAGGTTGGTATATTATTTTAAATTTGATGGAAAACCTTGTTATTTTAATTAATAAAATCAGAAAATTATAAAATAACGTGAACTGTTCTTAGTTGGTGTGGAAAAGTTCATTTCACTGTAATTTAATTTAGTTATAAAAATATTGCCTGTTTATTTGTGCCAATTTAAAAATTATCTCAGTTTTTATATTATTAAACTTTAAATCTACCTACTGAAAATTTAAAAAGTGTTTTTAAATATACTTCTGCACCAAAAGAACAACAGAGGTTGATTTTTGGATAAATATTTTTGTCTATCACAAAATGTCTTAGTTACATTGAGATTAGTAAATGACATATATTATTTTATATTAGAAATTAAAATATTTCTCAAAAAACTCTATTTCTGAAATGAAATGAAATGCATGAAAACTCAGCAATGCACATTTGATTGCGTGTAGTGTTAAAAACTTTTAATGCAAACACTAGCACATTTAGTGCATATTTCCTTAAGAGAATTATGGGCCGATAAATACATTGAAAATGGCGAAAAACTGTTCCTCTTATGGTAACAGCTGTACAAATATTAAAACATACATCAAACATGAGACGTTTAGGTTAAGCACTCATTAAAGTTGCAGAATAATTAATTATATCTCAACATAAAGAATTTGATATCTAACACCAAACAATTTTTTCTAAAAGCACCACATTACGTAAGTCTATTTAGAAAAATTCCTCAAATTACTGGAGCCTATTTTAATATGATAGGGGAATTTACAGCATTTTAATATTATAGTATAAAATAGTATAGTATAGTATAATATCAAAAATGAAGTGAAGCTTTTTTCAAAGAATCCTCTGCTTACAAAAACTAGAAACATCAAAGTATCATAAATGATGTGATGAATATTTTATTTGAGCTGAGCCAATACCTTTTTCGAATATCAGGGGGTATTGTTGAGGTTTAGAGAATTTTTTCATGTGGTTTTTAACAAGAATTCAAAATTCCTTATTAAATATTGTAAATTTTTCTTACTGGCAAGGAATTAGATTTTTCATTGCCATATATAAACATGAAGTTTTTGAAACATTTTACAAATTTTAAATATCCATCAGTTACATCTGTAGATGTTGCGAGGTGTTCAACAATTAAATAGATATTCACTGATGTATGCGCCAAACATTAACTGCGCAACATTAATTGTACGTTTTTATACCTGTAGGTACATGAGTGATTAATTATCATTTTATTCCAATGACGCTAACTTCTTTGACGATTCATGATCTTGTTCAGTTTATAGCTTCCCAAATGAAAATATTTTTTCTTAGAACATCAACTTTTAGTTTTAATTTCGTTATATCCAGGTTTTTAATTTATTTTTTAAACAATTTGAGATATATGTAAATATTTATTCAAAAATCAACATGTTAATTTTGGGCAGAGTTTTAACAGTTTTTAAATATTTTATAAGACCAACAAATTGCGAAAATTCATTAAAATAACTTTCTATCGAAATGTATAAAAATAATCCATACTAAAAATCAATCAATTTAATCTGGAATATTATTTTGATTTATTTATATTGATATAAGTAGTGTATACACGATTCGGTGTACAGTGGAGTAAATCGACTGACGACGTTAAAATTTGACATAAAATTTAGTAAAATTTTTACTCTAAATAGTATTTGCTTATATATCAGTTATATCACATCTGGTACTATAAAACTATTGTAAAGGATATTTTTATTCAACATTTCTATACTTTTTGAATCTAAATTGTTTTATCTAAAATATGGTGATGAGCAAAAATTTTTTGTTCATTCGTTAAGTTTTCATTATTTTTAATAACTGATTATTTCTAATTGTTCTAAGTTTCTTTCACTTTTCCGAATAGAGTAGTTTAATATTATTAAAATCTAGGAAATGATTGTTTTCTATAAAATTTTTACAACAGACTTTTTGTGTTCTTTAAATCTCTTTTTTACATTTCGCCCAGTTTGTCCAATGTCATCACAATCACTGATTATCTACTTATTTACTCCTATTTTCTGTAATTTTTCAGTTTTATCTTTATTGTTTATTAACTTTTTACCTAATTTATTTTTATATACTGAAATTGTTTTACATCTCCGTTTATTAACCTTATTACTAACTCTGTCGCTGATCTTACACTTATAATTAACACACTTATAGATCTTATTGCATTCCTGTGACGAACTGACATAAAACTCTTTATGTATATTTTTCTTTTTACTTTGGTTTGGTTTGGACAAAGGCCTAAGAATCCAAAACACATGTAGTTTTTTAATAAATTTTGAAACATTTAAAAAGTTAGTTTCCTTTATATATTTAAAACATTTAATAATATTTCACCAGAAGCCAACCACAGAATCAAATCAATGATTGTTTTATCAGTAATAATGCAATTTTCTTACATATGGCTTCTGCTAGGAACAGTTGTCACATAAGTATATAATCCTAGGGTAGGAATCTTATACTCAATTTTTGTTCCGACGATACTTTTTGTTAATATACTTAACATATTTATTATTAGATACATTAAATTTAATAAAAGTAGATTTTTTTTTTTACTGTTTGATGTTAAATACTGTCGTCTGTCCGAGTAGCTCACTGTGTACAGAATTTGCGTAGTAATAATTCAGGTACGATTTATAATTATTAATTTCAATTAACTCATAATTTGTGTTACATTAATTATATGAAGTGTTGTAAGTACTTAGGTAAGTCTTATTTAATTTTTGTTTTTTTTATTTTTCTTTAATTTCATGCCAAAATACATTTTGCATATTTATAAACAGTGTAACTTGATATCGTGGTAGATGTATGTGGAATGCTGCCTGTTGAATGATTGTTAACTTGCAGAACCTTCGATGCAGCCAGAGGCTAGTGGTATCAGAAAACCTCTTGGTGAGTAGTTTGTTTGTAGCTTAGAAAACAAAATATTCATTATAAATAAGCAACGATGAAGCATATTTATATTTGATATATATATATTCCTTAGGCATCGTTAGAACTTGTCAAAATAATGGAGATTTGCTATATAAACTTTTTTCCTAGTACATACCGTTTCTTTACTTTCTACTTTAGACAGAAATGGAATATGAAAGTATTAATTTTTTTGTGTATGCTATTTTTTGATTACAAAATAAAATTATGTTAAATTTGACTATCATTATAGTTTAACAAACAAATAACACAATTTTATATTCTTGATTTCGTTAAGAAACGATGGAGTGGTTCACACGAGTGATATATCAAGTTATATAATTCATAATCAAGGGAAATTAGATGAGGCAAATATTAAAATTGAAGTTGAAAAGTTAAGAATTGAAAATTTAATGCTTAAAAGATTTCTGGAGGAATCAGAAAATAAATATAATTTATTAGAAAGTAATAAAAAACTATTAGAGGAAAACAAAAAACTACTTGAGGAAAAAGTTGAATAAATAAAGAAAGAAGTGGAAGGGAATCAAAAAAATATAGTAAACAAAAATGTTTAACAAAAAATTCAAAACAAACAATCTTATAGTTCTGTGACTAATACTGTTAAAGTTAATAGTAAACAAAGCAGAGAGCGAATTTTAAAATCACCAAATCCGAGGCTATCTGAAATGAAAACTAATAATCATAGGGAATTAGAAGCTGTTAAGTTAAGAAAAATGAATGATATACATTTAGCTGATAAAAAAATATCTGATGTGGTCAGCACATAACTTTCTTATACCAGTATATATCATCCTGATGTAAAAAAATCATTCTATTTAATTCTTCACTTACTTCAATTAAATTTTAATAGCGTACCTTGAAATGTTTCATTATAATTTTTAAATAATTAATTATCAGTCATTCGATACTGTCAATAATAATTCATGTCATATATTTTAATAATTTCTTCTTATTGACATTGACATTTTTGTAACTAAATTAGACATTTCAAATGTCAAACTGTTAAATTTATCCAAACCCCATTTTATGAGGTCAAATGTATAAAAAATTTAAGTTTACATCAGCTTTATTTAAGTAATTGGAAAATATATTTTATTGGCTTGATATAGTAGACATGATTTATAATCTTTCATCAAGAATATATTTTTTTTGTAAAGGCAAATACAAAAAAGTTTGGGTCCCGTGGATCTCCTTTCAGCAGGCAAATTTTGCTCATCATCGAATATATCATTGTCTTTGGCCTTTAGAACATGTGCACCAAATTTGAGAGCTTTATCTTAAAAACTGTGGCTGCTACCGCGATACTACAGACATGCAGACAAATTTTCCAAATCCGTTTTTTTCATTATAATTCGTCGATATTCGTCCAGAAATGCAATAAAAATTTTTAATTTTTTTCCCGAAATTGTACCTTTTTTCTTCTTTCATTCATTGTGTCTCTTCTGGTA